TAAATAAATAAATAAATAAATAAATAAATAAATAAATAAAACACACTTAGTTTGGAAAAGACTATTCTTGAGATCTGATCTAGTCTTACTCTTAGAATATAAGTGCCTGCTGAGTTGGGTATGTTGTTAGGACGACTGCCATTATTTAATCCAAAATACACAGGAAATTGAAGTACATTTCAACTTCTTTTCCTGTAGTTTTACTTTCCTTCTTCTTCTCCCAGCCCGTCTTCTCCTCCTCTTTTTCTTTCCTGTTTCAATGGATTTTTCACAAATAAACATTTTTAAAGTTTAATCTTTCCTATTTACCCATTTCCCTTCCCTATTATAGTTAAACTTGGTACTAAGCCTATAATTCAGCAGTGGTATTAACAAAAATGGAAGAATATCATAGCTTAGAGTTAAAAAAAAATGTCTTTTTTTGACTGCCTTTTTATTACTGAGTACGTGGGTCATTATCCATATATTTAACCAAAAACAACCCCCATAAAGAAGTGAAACCTCAAAGAACATACACCTTACCATATATTTTTAGTATAGTAACTAGATTAATTTGTGTCAACTTCTTCATAGGCTATCACCATGTATGTGTGGTGGTGGTGCAGGACTGGGGTTGAGACTCAGCAGAACATTAGATGACGGACTCTATTTGTTCATTCATTCATTCATTCCCCACCTTGTTTCACAAAGTATTTAAGGTAGTTAGCTTGGTGAATTATACTTACGTGATCAAAATCATAACAGTTGACTACACTGGAATTAAATTTCTCAATTCATATTTATATGGCACTTTATAGCTTTTAGAATGCCTTTACATATAGTTTTGTTTGAGTAAAATGAAAGGTCTCTTGTACCTCAACAAATATATTTTAAACAAATCCTTTACAATGAATTTTTGTAGGACACGAGTTTATATGATAGTTTATTGAAATAATTCAGGGTTATATATATTTCTTCTGGTAGGTGAAAGAATGTTTTCTTTTTAGTGGTCCAAAACTGCTTGGTCTAATGGTGTATGTGGTGCTTTGATTTCTTCTAAAACAAAATTATCACAGCTATTACAAGAGAATTTTGAACAAAATCAGCTATGACTGTTCATTATAACAGATCTAAGGACATACACTAAAAGAAGGTTCTGTGTAGGATCCCACATCACATCACCTTATCACTTTTCTCTAAATCTAGGGAAAAACAGGAATTCCTCAGGACTGGAAACTGTCTTGCAATGTATAAGGATTCAGGATTTTTCCAAGCTGTGGGGAAAAAAGCTTGAAGGACCTGTAGTCCCAGCTGTGGCTTTCCTCGAATCATGAGTGAATCAATGAGCACGTACAGTTCTTTAAAGTTCAAGAGTTAGCTCTGATCAGAGGAACACTCTTGGTCAGAGGAAAATTATGGTCAACAGGGTTAATAAGCTACTGATTCTTCATAGGTTGACATGTTCTCACGTGTTCTTAGTCACTTGGTTCTTTTCAATACACAAAATGATAATGCAATAAAGTTTTAATTTAGTGAAAAAGTCATTACTTCTTTGGTTGTTACAGAATGTGGAGCTATAATTTCTTTTCCAAAAAGTCTCATTTTATAAGCGATTTGGTATTTTCATACAACATAAACTTAAATTGTAAATTGTTGTGTAGGACTGGAGGTAGGATTTGGACGAAAAGTGGTGCAACTCACACACGTTTGTGATGGAGAAAAATACTGCTAAAACCAAAATGGAACAAAGGTTTTAAAACCACCAGTTTTCTCAGAAAGCAGATCAGTGGCTTCCTAGGTTGGGGAGGGTTTTGGTGGGGGAAGGAGACTGAGTGCAAAAGATCACAAGGAAACTGTTAGTGTGAGAACTGTTCTATATCTTGATCATAGTTACAGGACTGTGCACAATTTCCAAAAATCAGGTCATATACTTATAAGTTGCTGACTTTTGTTATATGTAAATAATAGTTTCAGAAATGGAAAGGAAGGGAAATCAGATATAGTATAGCAAAATATATCCCTCCAAAGACTCGGGTAGTGAAACACTAATAAATATTTCAAGGGAAAGCTATTTAGGCACTTCTTTCTTACCTGTCCAATCCCCATGGTGGGAGAAGCTGCTGGAGATATTGGAAAGGAATTAGTGAGCCGTGGAGAAATTGGTTCCTCTACATCGGTGTCACTCTGTGTAAACAGAAAGCAGAATACAATCATAGCACCAACAGCTTACCTACCAAATACTTGAGGAGATAGCTGTTGCATGGTGAAGAGAAGCCTTGCTGAGTCAGTGGCTATGCCATGGTGAGGCGCTCTTACCATCTTAAAGCAAGCAGGGAACACAAGATTCACTTCAAAAGCAAAGGCACCCTTTACCTTTCGGGAAAGAGAGCTACATGGTGCTTGAGGGGCTTCCCTAGCACTCCAAAAGACCTAGAATGTGAGTACTCAATATTAAGCAATGTCTATTATATATACAGAAATCCTAAATTAAAATTTTTCTCTTTGCGTTTGACATGTGCTTTGTTACTGAAAACTACAATACTATGCCCAGGAAATGATCAAAAAGGATTAGAACTAAGTTACAAATGGGACAGTAAAAATAACTACAGCTATAAAAAGTGCTTATAGATTTTATGCAGATAAAATCACTCCTACACAACAAAAAGCAAATAAGCCAATTAAAAAATGGGCAGAGTTGCTGAACAGACACTTCTCCAAAGAAGAAATTCAGATGGCCAACAGGCACATGAAAAGATGCTCCACATCACTAATTATCAGGGAAATGCAAATTAAATCCACAATGAGATATCAGCTCACACCAGTTAGGATGGCCAACATCCAAAAGACTAGGAACAACAAATGCTGGCAAGGATGCAGAGAAAGGGGAACCCTCCTACACTGCTGGTGGGAATGTAAACTAGTTCAACCATTGTGGAAAGCAGTATGGAGGTTCCTCAAAAAACTAAAAATAGAAATACCATTTGACTGAGGAATTCACTCCTAGGAATTTATCCAAAGAAAACAAGATTTCAGATTCAAAAAGACATATGCACCCCTATGTTTATCACAGCATTATTTACAATAGCCAAGAAATGGAAACAACCTAAATGTCCATCAGTAGATGAATGGATAAAGAAGAAGTGGTACATATACACAATGGGGGCCATAAGAAGAAAACAAATCCTTCCATTTGCAACAACATGGATGGAGCTAGAGGGTATTATGCTCAGTGAAATAAGCCAAGCGGAGAAAGAGAAATACCAAATGATTTCACTCATCTGTGGAGTATAAGAACAAAGGAAAAACTGAAGGAACAAAACAGCAGCAGAATCACAGAACCCAAGAATGGACTAACAGGTACCAAAGGGAAAGGGACTGGGGAGGATGGGTGGGTAGGGAGGGATAAGGGGGGGAAGAAGAAAGGGGGTATTATGATTAGCATGCATAATGGGGGTTGGAAGAAAGGGGAGGGCTGTACAACACAGAGAAGACAAGTAGCGATTCTACAACATTTTGCTATGCTGATAGATAGTGACTGTAAAGGGGTTTGTGGGGGAGACCTGGTATAGGGGAGAGCCTAGTAAACATAATATTCTTCATGTAATTGTAGATTAATGATAACAAAAAAAAAAGAAAGAAAAGGGGGATTACTCCCTGATAGGATAAAACTAACTGCAAATCACCGATTAATGCATGCTTTAAATATCCTTAATTTTGATCATTTAAAGGGTGTCAGATGATCAGCTATGGAAGTACATTTTTCTGATAATATTCCTTTCTCTTAAAAAAAAGCAGTTCCTGCGTGGTGATCTCCAATAAGTTCTTCACAATGGTATGAAGGGCATATCAAAGGGTGGGCAAAGGGTTTGTTTGTGTTTATACAGAGGATCAAAGCCTAATTTGGCTACCTAGAAAACGAATTAGGATACAATATGAAGAAGAACTTCCAACATCAACATTCTCTGGAAAAGTCATTCCAGAAGATGATCATCAAAAAACTTCAACAAAGATCCTGGCACTGTTGCAGTTGTAGCTGCAGTCATCCCACAGGTTCCTGGACTTGCCATGGGAATGAAGAAGGAGATATCTAAGCTGGCCTGTGCATACAGTAAAACAACAAATTTGACTGGATCTATACTGTTGGAACTCAACCAAGAATTAGGAGAAGTGCAAGTTGCAGTGCTCCAAAATCTTGCAACTATAGACTATCTACTGTTAAAAGAACATATGCGATGTGAACAGTTCCCAGGAATGTGTTGTTTTAATATGTATGATTTTTCTCCAAGTATTCAAATTCAGTTAGACAATATCCATCATATCATTGATAAGTTTTCACAAATGCCTAGGGTGCCTAACTGGTTTTCTTGGTTTCACTGGATACGGCTGGTAATTGTAGGTCTGCTTTGGTTATGTAGCTGTATTCCTATTATGTTAATGTGTGCACTCAATTTAATTAGTAGTCTAAAACCTATACATGCTTATGTTACCCTACAAGAAGATAAGTCAAAGAAATAATCAATCTTCTCATGTTTTCTTCCGTCTGCTACTTCTATAGCTTTTCTTCTTCTTTCCTAATTACAAACCTTAAGTAGAATTCATGCTTCATATCGAAATTACCGAGTATCATAATTCTTCCAAGTGGTAAAGATACCTCAAGACAAATGCTGGGCACAATGCTAGCTATTTTGATGGGTAAATCATAAACTGTTTCTCAAGAGCAATTAAAAATTATTTATGCAGTATATATAGTTTTTGTTTCAAAAGAGAGCTTAGATTTCCAGAAATTACAGCAAAAGTCGGTAGCAACAACATTGAAAATCAGTATAAATTCCAAATTTTCTACAAAATTAGATTGTTAGTACCATACCAGTTTCAGTTTTGCTTCCCAAGCATGATTTATTTGTATTGCAGAATGTAATTTCCTACAAAAGAAGAGACATCAGTACTGCAGTTTGACTATCTAGAAGAAAAGATGTAACTGCATATGCAAATGATCAGAATAGTAATTCAAAGTCCACTAGTCACCATTCATGCATTGCTTCTCCACATCTTAAATCCATGGTTTCTTCCTGAAAGGCAAGAACATGAGAGTAAACTGAATACCAGTTCCTATGCTTTTATGAAGGGATTTTATTTGGCTTCACCTTTATTATTATTCACTGGGCTGTACAAGAGCTAGAGTATAAGAAAATCTCTAAAGAAGTGTCTGGTTCCCTACTTTTCATTGTTGTACCTACCACACCAAAGATCTCTTACTTATACATTACAGTATATCACATATGTAAGAACTGATGAGAATGAAGTACCTTTCTTCATTTAAAAGAGAAATCAAACATTCAATATTACATGATTTTTCCAACCATTACTACCATGATATTAATAAATATTACTCATAGTTCAAAGCAAACTAAATGTCTATCAGTACAAGTCTGCTTAAGTAAATGATGGTACTATCATGATTTAAATCTCATCACTGACACTGGAAAACATGTATTACATATTAAGTAGGACAAAAAATAGATACTATTTAGGTAAAATTGGAAATGAAAGGTGTTCAAAAGGATATTTACCACCAAGTTAACAGTACTTAGTTATCAATGAGCAGTGAGATTTGGGGTAATTTGTTCCATATTGTTTGGCCTTTTTATAATATGCAAGTACCACTTTCATATAAATAGTTATTTCTTTAAATAATCCACATATGGAAAGACATCCTGTGTTTGTGGATTGGAAGCCTTGATATCGTTAAGATGGTATTAACACCCAAAGTGATCTACAGATGTAATGCAAGTGCTTTCAAAATCCCAATGACATTTTTTGCAGAAATAGAAAAATGCATTCTAAAATTCACATAGAATCTCAAGGGGTCCTGAATACCAAAACAATCTCCAAAAAGAAGAATAAACTTAGAGGGCTCTTACTTCCCAATTTCAAAACTTACTATAAAGCTACAAGTAATCAAAACAGTATGGTACTGGCATAAGGACAAACATACAGATCAATGGAATAGATTAGAGAGCTCAGCAACAAACCTTCACATATATATACAGGGAAAGGACAGTCTTTTCAACAAATGATGCTGGGAAAACTGACACTGGAAAACATGTATTACATATTAAGGAAGACAAAAAACAGATACTATTTAGGTAAAATTGGATATGAAAGGTGTTTAGAAGGATATTACAGCAAAAGAATGAAGTCAAACCCTTTCCTAAAATCATATACAAAAATTAACTCAAAATGGATGAAAGGCCTAAAACTACAAAATTCTTAGAAGAAAACAGGGAAAAGCTTTATGACATTGGATCTGGCAGTGCTTTTTTAAATATGATACCAAAAGCATAGACAACAAAAGAAAAAAATAGATAAACTGGACTTCATAAAAAGTTAAAACTTCTGTGCATCAAAATACACTGTCAAGAGAGTGAAGACAATCAAAGAATTAGAGAAGCTGTTTCTAAATCAAATATCTAAGAAAGGATTAATATCCAGACTATATAAAGAACTCCTACAATTCAATAACAATAACAAAGCAAACAACTCAATTAAAACATGGGCAAAGGACTTGAATAGACATTTCTTCAAAGAAGATATGTAAATGGTCAATAGGCACATAAAACAATGCTCAACATCATTTGTCATTAGGCAGATGAAGATCAAAACCACAATGAGCTACTACTTCATACTCATTAGGATAGCTATCACTTAAAATATGGAAAATAAAAAGTGTTGGTGAGATTGTGGAGAAATTGGAATCCTCACACACTGCTGGTAGGAATGTAAAATGGTATAGACTCTGTGGAAAACAGTTTGGCAGTGCCTCAAAAAGCTGAACATTGAATTAAAATATGATCCAGCAATCCCACTCCTAGGTGTATACCCGAAATAACTGAAAGCAAGGACTCAAACAGATACTTTTATACTAATGTTCATAGCAGCAGTATTCATAATAGCCAAAAGATGGACAACCCAAGTGTCCATCACCAGATAAATGTATAAAAAATGTGGTATATTCATGCAATGGAATGGAATATTATTCCATTCCATGCATGCATGGAATATTATTCATCCAGATAAAAGAATGAAGTTCTGACACATGCTACAACATGGATGAACTTGAAAACATTAGGCTAAGTGAAAGAAGTCAGACACAAAAGAAACAATATTATATGATTCCACTTACATGAGGAACCTAGAGTAGTCAAATTCAGAGAGACTGAAAGTAGAATAGAGGTTACAGGAGATGAGGGTAAAGTGGGGAGTTATTGCTGAATGGGGACAAAGTTTCTGTTTGGCATGATGAAAAAGTTCTAGAAATGGAGAGTGATGATGGTTGCCCAACACTGTGAATGTACTCTGTGCCACTGAATTATCCTTAACTTTCAACCTTATAGTATCTAAGGTAAAAATGAAAATACTAAAAATGGTTAAAAAAAAGACACCATAATCCAAATTCATCCTGTCATTCATAAAATCGTATTTCACATATATTAAAGAACCTAGGATAGTTCTGGGACAATATGGTGCTAAATATTATAAGGAACATGAAATAAGCAGATGAGCTTTCCCTAAAGAAGCCTAGAATCATATTTGAGAGTCAAGCTTTAAATACATTAGGTCAGTGCTCTTCAAGGTAAGCATGATCACAGCCAAGGAGGTGTACAAGATGATCCACTGAGAAGCAAAAGGAATAAATGGAAATTCAATTTATATATTTTAAAATCGGAGAAAGTAAGCAATGAAGGCTTGCTGATATTAGATATCCAGATTGATGCAGGTACCCTCACTCAGTCCACAGGATCCAAAGATCTTGTGAGAGAAGAGACTTTTTCTTTGGCCTTTTGATAGTTACAACTAGTTTCAGTTCACCTGCCAAGTTAGGTGAACATATGGATATATCGCCTAGTTTTAACTAAACTAAGTTCCACAAAATGGACAAGTGCCTTAATAAGTGGACATACAGAGACCTTGGGCAAAAGATTAGGAATGCAAGTCTAAGCAAATAACGGAAATGGCAAAAATGAAACAGACGCTACTCTGAGCACAGCTCATCATATGCACATTACTGTGAAAACATAATGCTGAGCTAATATGTTCTATTAAGGAGGTGGCTAAAATAATTTTAAATCATGAAGGTTATTGGAAATATAAGTTCATATTCACTCTCAATAATGATATATAGTTAACAAAATAAAATCTAAACTTTTCTGAAAATATCAATTCAACTTTATCTCATCCTTTTTGTTTTTCTATTTTGTGTATATTCTATAATTCACATTATATACTACTGCAGGACTACATGTCCGTAATGTAAATACAATATACATATATTGGAAGCATGTGCTCACTTCTTACTGATGCAGTGTGTGATCAAAAGTGTTTAAATATTATTGCCCATGGTATAAACAATAAACGTTATGGGTAGTCTGTGATAGAAGAGTGATGTGAGTTACATGAATTAAAATTTGATGCAGGCCTTGAAAGATGTTTAAAATCTGGACAAGAAGAGGGTGGAAGGGAGGGTATTCCGAGCAGAAGGAACCATATAAAGAAGTTTATGGGAGGTAAAGAATATGGTAAAGACTAGCTTGACTGACAGAGTTTGTGCTATGAAGTCATGAGAGAGAAACTGGAGAGCAAAACAGGGCCAGATTTATAGGCTCTTAGGTAAAGAGTTTGAATGTAAGGAGTTTCGGCAGAATAGCATAGTTGTTAGGAACATAGGCTTTGAAGCCAAACAGAACTGAGTTAAACCCCAGTTCTGAAACTTACTACGTGTACAACCTTAGGCCGGTAACTTAACCTGCACCTCAGTTTCTTCATCCATATGAAGCTGATGGTAATCATGCGGATAATGAGGTGGTTGTACTATTCTTATCACAGCACATGGCAACCTATGTAAGTGCTCAATATAGTCCGGCTATTGTGCTTATTTAGTAGGTAATGGGGAAGCCATTGCCAACTTTTTGCACAGGAGAGGAAAAGGTGAAAACAACGTTTAGAAAAGTTACCTTGGTGTTGGTTGTGGGAGTCAGAGTAAACTGGGGCAGAGAGAGGAAATCTACTAGAGTGCTATTACAGTAATCTGGATCCAAGGGACAGAAGGAAGTAGCAGTAGGAACAGAGAGGATGTTGTCACGGAAGAATTAATAGGATTACATGCCTAATAAGATACAGTAGAAAAATAAGGACAAACTGAAGATGAATCTAGAACTTTGAGTCTTAAAACTGTATGATTGTGACTATTTTGATGCCATTGCAGAAAACGAGGGAAATTGGGAAAGGCAGTTTAAGAAGTTAATCAGTCTTTTAAAACAATGGAATAACCACATATCTTTTCAGTAAAATATAATTGTGAGTGCAATTCTTACATTTAATATTTACACAGATGTTTTCTCTAATGAGGAGCTCAAAGTATTTTGTAACTCACTCAATTCACAAAAGCAAGTTTCCCAGAACTAGAATAGAATTTTGCTTATTGTTCCTCTCATTGAAAGTTGGAGCATTAACCAATATCAGCAATTGTGAGGGTATTAGTAACAGTGAGTGGACTCTTATGATTTGCATCTTGCCTATTTCCAAAACAGATATGAAATAATAATACTGTTAAAATAAGGATAAAAGGCCAGGAGCCATGTAACTGTCAAGGGCAAAGAGGAAGGTATGCTAGAAACCTAGGTTAAGGAGAGTTGCTGCATTTGAGCACTAAACTTAGCTTTCAACCTTACAGTGTCTAAAGTAAAAATGGAAATAGTAAAGTTGTCCACTTTTGCTGTCTGAAGAAGAGTATGCCTGAAAGATTTTAGTTGCCCAGTACCAGCACAGTGCTCAATAAATGCTTGTTGAAAGAATGAAATGATTTATAAACTAAGATCAAATTACATCTCTTTTAAAACAAGCTAGGCTATTCCCTTAAGGAATGTCTCTTCATAAGAGACTGGGTACTTAATAGGTTCCACGGAAAACTCAAAAACATATCATAGAAATCTAATGTTGCTGCTTTATTAGATTAGAAAATGGTAGCAAGGTCCATTAGACAGATTAACTGTGAAACCTGGCCAGCAGAAGATAAAGCTCGCAGACACACCTTATGTAACAGATGAAATCTAAATTGTCCCAATCATAATCATGCCCTGTACTCCAGCTGGCATAATCTATTTTAAAGGGCTTCACCCCATAAAGTTCCCTTACATCTGTGTCTAAATCCATTTTTAATTTATCCAAACCTGGTAAGATAAAAAGAAGACTGTACTATGTGTTGCTGAAGTTTACATTTGTGAAGATGTAAATACAAGGGATGCTAGAAATGCAGAGGTAGTATAGTAAGGAGACAACTGACTTTACTTAAGACACTGCAAATAAAGTCAAGTTTTTACTGGGTACCAGTGATTTTTTTTTCCCTCACGCAAGAGATTTTAATGGCTGTCTCTAGGTGGAGAGCAGCCACTTGTGGGTGAGGAAGCACGTTTTTAAGGAGTAGGGGTAGGGTGTGTTCTGCGTTGGTGATTGGATCTTAAGGAGTGGGGGTCTCAGCGCGCCAGAATTTGCCTTCATTCCCATTTTTTCTTTTTCTTAATAGGGCCTCTGGGGAACTGGGCGTAGAATTTCATTCTCTAGCTACTTTCTGTCGGAAGGGGGAGAGATCATTAGGGTAGGTCCTAATCCAAAACGACTGATGTCCTTATAAAGAGGAGAAATTTGGAGACCAACACGTGTACAGGGAAAATACCATGCGAACAGGAAGATAGTCATCTAGGAGCCAAGGACAGAGGCCAGAAACAGATCCTTCTCCCATGGCCTTCAGAAAGAAGCAACCCTGCCAACATCTTGATCTCAGACTTCTGGCCCCCAGAACTGGGAGACAATAAATTTCTGTTACTTAAACCCCCCAGTTTGTGGTACTTTGTTATGGCAGCCCTAGCAAATTAATACAAGAACTATTTCTGCAGGGCAGTTATTTATGGTTAGGGCATTGGGAGATAGGGACCTAAAAGCTGGGTGCCTTCAAGCCTCTTGAAATACAAGCTCAATTGTTATTAGGAAAGGAAAACTACATAAAAAGAATAATTCATGAATATTTAGGAATTACTATGTTTAGAAAATTTACTTCCATGGTAATCATCTCACTATATATACAAAAAATCATTACATTGCACACCTTATGCTAACCCCATGTTATACATCAATTATATCTCAGTAAAGCTGGCGGGGGAGTGGGTGGTGGTGGTGGAGAAAAGTTACTTCCAGCTTGATGTGCTCAAGCTCTCAATTACCGAGAAAACAGCTAACAATCACAGTCAAGAAGAAATTGTCCATTAAGTGCCTTAATAGGAAAGGGGCAACTTAAACCCTACACTTACTTAAATGTTGACCCAGAACCTCTTATTGACTTGGGCTGTGTGCTTATTTAAAAGTAAAAGCAAATTTAATCAATTCAGTTTATAGGAAATGCAGGGAATAAAAGAATGTATTAAACAACACCACATGGAAGCAGAGGCACAATGTGGGGCATTCTACAGGACAAGTGGCCTGGCTTCTTCGATAAATAAGTGGAACAACAGCAGGAGGGGAAGCCTGTGTTTAATAAAAGAGACCTAAGAGATCATGGTTAGAACATGTTTGAATCAGCAAAACAGGCATTTTTGAGAATCAGGAAAAATTTAACATGGAGTGGTTATTAGATGACATTAAGAAATAACTTAATTTTGTTAGATGTAATGATGGCATTGTGATTATATATATATTTTTAAAAGTCCTTGTCAGAAATTCATACTGAATGTTTATGGGTAAAAAGATATAAGGGATTTACTGAAAAGCATCCTTCTCCCCCCTGACTAGAAGGAGATAGATGAAAACTGATGTACAAAATGTGGGTAATAATTAAAGCTTGGTACTGAGTACGTGGAGGTTCTATTCTGTGTGTTTTGAAATGTTTTCTTTTTCCATGTAGTGAGCCAGGCACCATGCCTATATTAATTCCTTTCATCCTTGCCACAGTCTCATGAGGGAGCTGCTGTTATTTCTCCCATTTTACTGAAAAATGAAATAAAATTAAATAAATGCCTTAATTAATGTTATTAGTGTGAACGTTCAGAATGTAATGAGGTGAGAACCAGACATTTTTGTTTTGTCCTTAGCAGGTTATGTCCAATAGCTAAAAAGAAGGCATGGTTAAAGAATGCATGTAAATAGGCAGCTTCAGACAGTTATCAGCCATTAAACTGCTGAAAATAAGTCTTAAATTTCCATTCAATCAGTACCCAAATTGAAAGTTAACGTTATTTCTGATTACCCATTTCATTCACTTTCTACTTGTGTTTCATGTTAAATGTTTTAAATATATATTCTGTCACTATGGAAACACATGACATTACAATGTATATTACTAACCAGTTAAACTGATCCCAAGCTTCATAATCAAATAACAACATGCAATCAATTTTCAAATGTTGGTCTAATTTAGAGGAAGCAAAAAACAAATTGACTGCTAAACCAGAGGTCACCTTATCTACTAGTTTTAGGCTCTAAGAATTTCTAAAATAGCTGCATACTAACCAAGTCAAAGAGTAAAACAATGTTTTATTTTTAAAAAGTAAAATAAATTTTTTTGCCATACTTCTTGCTAGTGGATGATAAGCTGGACCATCAGGGAGTCATGGGGTGAAAGGGAAGAGGGAAAAGAAGTAGGAGGAAACGAGGCTCACAAGGTACTATGGGTTTGTGTTACTACAACAGGGGAAGGGCAGCTGGAAAAGAATCCCGTAATCTGGGGCTAAATCTTGCATCTGACGCTCAGTAACTGTAGACATTGGGTAAATTCCTAAATTTCTCCCATCTAGTTTCTGACCCTATATAGTTGTTGTGAGATGAAATGAGACCACAGATGTAGAGTACCTATTACAGTGTTAAGTGAATAAAAACTGCTTCGTAACAGTTAAGCCCCTCCTTGAATAAAGTCTGCTTGTAGTTGGGTTAAAAAATCCTACCACCTGTGGTGGAGTGGTGATTTGATCTTTCAGGTTCTGTGGCTAATCCTTGGATAATTAAAAGGTTTAATTCTGTATTAGGTTTTTGCTATTAAACACACATGCATGTACACACACACACACATACACAAACATAAGCCAGTGAGGTACAATGTGTCCCTGAACTCAGATTAGTACGGAATGAACACAAAATGATAGCATAAAGGCCACTTTATCTGTCCAAAAAAAACCTTCATCTGAGGGTTAAAAAACAAACATGATAATTATGGTTACTGTGAACCTGAAAGTTAATTTTTACATATAACATTCTTCCTTTCTGAAATCCCTGAAAGAAGCTAGATTCAAGGTACAAGAGTATGTAGTCTTTCTGGAAATGATCAACATTAAAGTAGTTAATAACCCAAATAAATATAGGACTCCTTAGTTTGCTTTTGTTTTAGAGAAAGCATTCCTGGAATTAAAAACTTAATCATATGTGACCTCATGTAGAATTCCTGAACCATAGGTATTTTGTTTAAAGAAAAACAAAATTTTCTTTTTCAATGAACAGCTGTCAGTTTTGAAAGTTTTCTTACCTGCTTGATTTGTTGAACGCGAGTCATGGAAATGTGAACTGGAAAATGTGGCAAAAACTGAAATTTAAAATATAAAAGTGAAGCTTGCTTTAATGTTTCTGATTGTTTCTAAACATTAAGTCAATGTTGAATTATCTGAAGTATTTCTTGACTGTCTAATGCATGCTAACAGTAGGATTCATTCAGCTTAAAATTTTAAAAACTCAGTTGAATTTTGACTGAAAATTATACTCACCAAAAGTCTAAATATATCAGAATAGAACAAGATAACCATTAACATAAGAAGTATAGGGCAGAGACCATCAAGAGAACATCTTATCTCTTTCCTTTCCCAAGGCACTAGATCTTAGAATCACCTCATTTTTTTCTTGTCAGTTTTAGCCCACTATTAAAGCTTAGTGACAGGCATTACCCAGAAAAAGCTGAAACAGTCATTAAATCACAGCTAACTGACCAAACATACAAAAGAAACATAAACAAAACCCCATCAAATATCTTGGAATCTAGATGGGGAAACGAAAATTTCACAATATGGAATGACTTAAGGCAATCACTTGTATGTAGTTAAGCACATTTTACTTTCTCCTCTTAGGTCTTTTCTCAAAGCTTATGAGGACCCACACAAGAAGGAAATGAAAGAATGGAGGGATTTAAAGCTAAGCGCAAAAATGAAGTTTGAAAATCACCTTTAGAATTCATTTATCCATCCTAGCTGTATCCTGGTTAGTTCTTGAAATGCCAGGCAATTTACCATCTTACTTTCATATTATATCTTAAGAGCATATTGAGTTGTGCATTCAAAAATGTTTAATGAGCACCTACTAGATGCTAATGCACAGTGCTAGGCCCTGAGGATCCAAAGATAAATAAGACATTTTCCTGTCCTTGAGAGATTCACAGTCTAGGTAGGGAAAACTAGGTCACAGGTAAGTGCCAGAAGGAGTTTTATTTTGTGGGACTTTAAGGAATACAATATTACTGTGCCTGGGGTATGGGAGAAGGTTTCACAGGGAAGGGTAGGAATTCATTAGAGAGAGAAGAGGATGGAGGGTATTTCAGGGAGTGGGAAGAGATGTTCGGGCAGAGAGGTATGTTTGGGGATCAGAGAGGTTCAGTGTGGCTGAAATTTGGCACATGATAGGGCATGGCAGGAAGCAGCTCTGGGGAAATCTGGCTGAAATCAGATTGTGGTTTTTGGGCTTTAGACTTTGAGCTTAGTAGGAAACCCAAAGCATAGGTCCTTCTGAGTTCTTAAATCTCAAAGATATTTTGAACAAGAAGATCATACCTGTTTTAGAAAGGCAGCACTAGTAGCACATGCAGAACACATTGAGGGTGGACAGAAGAGCGACTAGAAGCAGGGTCACAGGCTAGGGTAAAGATGATGAGGGTCTGAATGATGAAGAGAGGGAAGAAGAGGAGGCAGATTGGAGAAATGATCAGAAACTGAAAAGATCTAACGATTGGCCAGGAGTTCCCAGCTGAAACCTATAGGTGAGTGGTGGCCAAGAAAGGCAGTAAGTAGAGCAGGTTGGTGGGTGGGAGAAGATGAGTGCTCATAAAATGTGTGTTGGACAAATAAATGTTTTTATGAAGTAGAGTCTTGAATTTTTTTAGGTTTTAAAAATGTCTCACATGACTTTTTGAGGAGTGTATTGTCTCACTAATTATATTTTGTTTAAGAGTGTTCAAAAAACAAAACAGAATGAACAAAACAGTAGTAGACTCATAGGCACTGAGAAGTGTCTGGTGGTTACCATGGGGGAGGGGCTGGGGTGGGTTGGTGGGAAGTGTGAGGGGGATAAAGGGACACAGATTCTCAATCATAATATAAGTTGGTCACAGGGATGTAAGTGCAAGATGGAGAATATAGCCAATGATTCTATAACATTTTCCTAGGTTGACAGTAAGTGCCCTAGTGGGGGTTAGGATTTAATAATATGGGTAACTGTGGAACCACTGTGTTGTATACTTGAAAGCAGTAAAAATTGTATATCAACAATACTTCAATAAAAAAAAGAAAGTGTTCAAATCAGTTTGTTTTTGCTAATCATCTGCTGTAAGGTAGAGGAGACAGCCATGTTTGTAAAAGTAACAATAGAAAATCCGTATGTGGATAATTGAAAATTCACTACATATAAATTATATTTGAAAATTAGTGACAATTACTTCATCATAATAATTCACTATCAGAAAAAATAGGTCTAACTCCTCAGTATTTTAATACTTATTGAGCCTTTATTATGTGTCAGGAAATGTTTTTCTGCTCAGTGGGGAAGGGAAGATTTTTTTAAAACCTAATAAGCCATAGTTATTACCTTCAGAGACATTACAAACCAGACATGAAAGCAAATATTACATAGTAGACAAGGAAATGGGTGTTAAATGGAGGCAAAGCTGTGTGGGAATAAAAAGCAAAGCTTAAGTGAATGGGCACAGGGGTTGCGAGTTTGGAGACAGGCATTTGAGTTGGGCCTTGTAAGCCGAGGAGTTTGACAGCATAAGCAACAGAAAAGTGAAAGTGCTTGGCATGATTTAGGAAAGGCTACTAGTCTTGTGTGAGTGGAAAGCCAGGTGACTGTGGAACGATAGAAGATTCTGAAGCCAAGAGGGTGAAGATGCTGGAAAGCCTTGAATGCCATACTCAAAAAAGTTTGAACTGTGGAAAACTTACCTATTTTGGTTGCTATTTCAAGAAAATTCTTAATTCAAATCAATAAGACTACTGTCTAACCATTGTCACAGAAGTCAGGAAACTCCGTGATAAAACTTGCCCAAAAGGGAGACATTGGACATATGATTTGTTGCTATATGGAAGTGTTATGAAAAGAGCTCATAACAGAGTTTCTCTTTCAAGCATCTATTTACACTAAATGTGATAATGGAACTAATGCTATAATATGCTGAATAGTGCCTGTCACATAGTATGTGTTCAATAAATGGCAAATGACTCTATCACAACCACGATTATCACCACCATCATCAAATACTTCTAGAAGTCAATGTTTAATGATATATAAACAACTACAGTATCTGTTCCCTGCTGCCAAGCATTCTTCATTCTTTTTCCCATCTGATCTTTTATTTAATTTTTAATATACTTTATTTATTATAGCAGTTTTAGGTTCATAGCCAAATTGAGTAGAAGGTACGGAGATTTCCCCTATCCTCATAGAAGCACAGCCTCCCCCACTATCAAAAGCCAAACAAAAGTGGTAAATTCTTTTAATAGGTGAACCTACACTGACACATCATTATGACTCACAGTTGATAGTTTACACTAGAGTTCACTTTTGCTGTTATACATTCTATGGGTTTAGACAAATGTATAATGACCCATATCCATCATTAGAGAATTGTACCAAGTAATTTCAATGTCCTATAAAAATCCTCTTTGCTTTACCTATTCATCCTGATCTCTTATTTTTTTCAACAGAAATTCACTTTCTTTTCTTCTCTTTATAAAGCAATAAATGATCAGTATAAAACATAATTAATGGGGGAAAAACAGCATCACCCACCATCCAGAGATGACCACAGTAAATATCTCTGTATTTATTTTTCCAGACCTGGATCCTACTGTACGTACTATTTTACAGTTTTAAAAAAATAACAATACATTCTGGCTTTGCATCTTGGAGACACTTGCAGTTCTCAGCCCCTGGGCCAGCTTCTATCAAAATGCCTATTGTTCATGAAATTCTGTGCAAGCTCAGCTTGGAGGGTGACCACTCTACACCCCCAAGCGCATGTGGGTCAGTCAAGGTGTACATCAACTTTGATGCTGAGTGGGATGCTTTGAACACTGAAACATCCATCAAGACCAAGGGTATGGATGAGATCACCATTGCCAATATGATCAACCACAGCAATGAACAGATATGATACTGCCTTTGCCCACCAGAGAAAGACCAAAAAGGAACCTGCCTCACCACTGAGGTCAGCCCTTGTGCAGCCACCTGGATAAGGTGATTAGGAGCCTACTGAACACACCTGCTCAGTATGAGGCTTCCAAGCTGAAAGTCTCCTCCACGAAGGGGCAGCAGACTGATGGGGACTCCCTCAGTGAGATCATCGATTCAAGGACCAACCAGGCACTGCAGGAAATCTACAGTCTACAAGGAAATGTACAAGACTGATCTTGAAAAGAACGTTGTCTTGGACACATCTGCTGACTTCCACAAGCTGATGGTTGCCCTTGCAAAGGGCAGAAGGGCAAAGGATGGCGCTGTCACTGATTATGAACTGATTGACCCAAGATACCCGGGCTCCTGATGCTGGAGTGAAGAGGAAAGGAACTGATGTTTCCAAGAGGATCAGCATCATGACTGAGCAGAGTGTGCATCCTTTCCAGAAAGCATCTGAAGGTACAAGAGCTACAGCTGTTACGATCAAGAAGGAGGTCAAAGGGGACCTGGAAAATGCTTTCCAGAACCTGGTCCAGGGTATTCAGAACAAGCCCCTGTCTTTTGCTGACTGACTATATGACTATGAAGGGCAAGGGAGCTAATTATAAGGTCCTGATTAGAATCCTGGTCCCCAGCAGTGAAAGGGACATGTGGAAAACTGCAGCTGAGTCCCTGCTCTACCACATCCAGGGAGACAGTACCGGCAACTACCAGAAAGCACTGCTGTGCCTGTGCACTGGGGCTGATGGAAGCCTGAGTCAGCACAAGCACCCCAATAGTGGTGTTCCTCTGCTTCCAGCTAACAGTTTTAGAAAAAAGTCGGCCTGTGACTAACAGCCCCTTGTGTCCATCCCTGAGGATGATGTTAGTATTGCCCCCCCATCCCAGAGGGAGGAGAGGATTGAGAGGGTACTGGGTGACCTGATGCCCAAGAATTACCTCCAGTAACGTAACTCAAATAAGAAAGATCAACCTAAGTTTCATTTAAGAGAGACCACAGAAAACTAATATTGTGAAGACATTGTTCTTTAAAAATAAATTTTAACTTTAGTATAGTTGCTATTTTTAACCCATTTCCTACCATAGTTATTAGAGATAAAACACATAGAGAATCCTGAACAAGAGTCATATGCTATGCTTATGAATGTC